CGAAAGCACATCCCGGCGTCGCCACCTCGCCTCTTTCCGCATTTCTCGCGGATGTTCTCGCACTGGCAATACGCAAATTATACCGGACTTTATAACCGTGTGACGTAAATTTCATGGCGGCCGGGTCATTCGACTGTGCCTTCTTTTATCGTGCGCATAGTGTATTTATTAAATTTAAGCTCCGAGGCGACGAGAAGGCCGACGATTTATCGGTCGCAATAAGTTAGGCGAGAAACGTTTTTATGTATGACTTAACTCGCAGTCGGTTTCGTAATAAGCATTAAAATTAAATTATTTCCTTAGGAAATTACGAAGCTGTGTACGTATTTGTAAATGCAAATTACAGATCCTTGTGTATGTTATGTGCATGCTGGATCAACCGATGGAACACGCTGAGTAGCTAATTATTTTTATTAGTCAATCAAAACGTAGTATTTTAGTATTTATAAATAAATTTATCGGCACTCACGTCCATACGCTATCTTATTTATATATTATTATTTTTACAAACATGCATGCATGATAAAATTGTACATATTCGTTAAGAAATCTGAATTTGAAATTAATTCCTTTCAAGATAAACATATACATATTTTATAAATTACCAAGGAATAATTTCGAATGATGGTAAAATTAGCTACTTCATTAGAAAAAAATCTTGTGAAAAATCATAAATATTTATCTTAACGCTTATACATTTATTGCGAAGCTCATATTTACAAGGATAAAGACACTGTTAACAAAGAATTATTGCTTTGGCATAATAATATTAAAAATATTCATCTATAATAATAATATTGGCAATGTAGAATAAAGTCTAATTCAATATAAACGTAAAATACTGTTCACTATTAATGAATTCACACTTTATAAATAAGAAGCTTGGAATCTAGCCGAAGCTAAGTGTCAGATCTACGAACACTTTTATCAATCCAGTGGGTCAAAAGAAATTGCTGCTCCTCAGACGTTGCTCCGGATTCTCATCCTCCTTCTTCTCAGATATGTGCACACCACGTGCTCGTGGTCGTCACGCACAACCACAAGTTATACGAAAGCTCTTCTCGAAAAAGTATTAAGAAATTATGCCTCCGAGAGTAAATGATATGTGTCTACACTGAGGCCATAGATCACTTGTAGGCTATCAATTGTCGGCCATTGTAGAAATAATAACAATATCTTGCGAAAAACGATATTTTATGTAGGAGAGCGGAAATTGTCGCAGCAACCTGCATACTCCTAATCAACACCAGAGGTGAGAATTCGCGCGTGTGTGCGTGTGCGTGTGTTCATGCGCGTCTGTGTAGCAAGCTGTTAATAAATTGATCCATTACTCAAGCAAGCGGTCATCTTCCTTCCTGCCTATCTATCTACCTGCCGAGTTATTCGCATGCTCCCTCTTTTTCTCTGGTTAACTTTTTCATTCAGTCTTTTCTTCCTCCCTTACTTCCTGCTTTCCTTCATCACACCTACCCACCACCGTCTCTCCTTCCTTCCGACCTTTCTTCCTTCCCTCCTTCCTTTCTTCCTTTCTTTCTTCCTTCTTTCCTTCAGTCTTACCAACTCTTCTTCCTACACTCAGATTTTGACCGATTAATAGACGATCTCACTCGTTTAACAAATCTACTGCAGCCACTATTCTTACCTATTTAAGTATTTCTTGCTTTTTTTGTAATATATTTGTTCCACGTAAGCCATATCAAAACTTAAGATTTAACGAGCGGCTCGCAATTAATTTTCCATACTTCAGATAATGATTGTCCATATTCTGTTTTTCAAGCATTTTGTTTAAGGTATGTCGAGAGATAGTAAACATTGTTATGTTATTTAAATATTAGAAGTCATTGTACTCGCATTTTACATTCATTTTAAATTCTCTAAATCACAAAATATTAAATCATTTAAAAAGCCATATTTGTTTCTTATTGAATTGAATTTTCGATATTATTTAAAAAGCTGTAAAATAATATTACATTTCTCCATTATTTCCCACTATTTACTGGATGTCCATAGTTAACTTTCAAAATTTGATTATTTTAATGACCTAATTTTTTATCACTAAAACAAGCTTAAGTATATAAATGTTACGTATCAGTTACTAAATACAAAACACCATCTTCAGTATAACGAATAAACCGTTTATGGTTCCAATAAAAGAGCTCATTACTTTCGCAGGTCCTCGCGTGGTCCTTCTTTCAAATACAAAGGAAAACAATTATTCTCTGTTCATTTACAGTAGCATTTACAATTTATTTAATTTCTAACTTCCTACCACCTTACATAATAATAACACTATAGAAAGCACAGCCAAACAATGCCATTCCGATTCCAATATGGCACAATAATTAACAAATACTGCTTTATATAGAAAATACTGTTGAGCATATTACGGATTTATTTTATTACAGTAACTGTTTGTAATTAATCAATAGCATTTTATATTTCACCGATAATTTTTAAAACTTCGTAAGTTCGTAAAATATAAAAATGTGCTAATGTGACCGGCACTAATTGATATCTGAATAGTACGTTTGTAGTTAATATTTCAAATGTAATTCATAATAAGTAATGAATGACACAATAACAATTAGTTATTGAAGTGTATTTTGCTAAAAGGCATAATAAATTAATTAAAATTCATCTATTATCTACAATTTAAATTCGAAGGCCTTTGATTTACTACGTTAAAAGTATATAAACTTATACCAAGTTAGTAAGCAATTTTGAAATATAATGTAAAACTTGGATTCTTATTGCAAGAAAAGAAAAATAACTCAAAACTAGTACTTATAAAATATGAGGATTATTTGACAATTTAATGCATCATTACAGATTAAACATCATCTTCAAATATTTCAATAACCTTGAGATTTATATACAAACTTAAGCGCAAACACGCAGGAACAGACAGAAACACACTATTATATTACTATTTATTTGATCAAACTTTAATATTCAATACTTTTCTAGTTGTTGTTCTAATATTTTCTAGATATTTCCACGATCAAATAAGAATTTTTAACTTAAAGTCGTTTTCCCGAAATTCATCAATGAATGAAATATCTTATCGTATTAACAATCTAATATAATTATATATTAAAATAAACAATAACAATTTAATTATAAATATTTTTGAAAAAGCTTATAAGTACCAGAAAGATAAATAATTTAATTATGGGACTTATAAAAATAGTTTTTCGAATAGTAACATAATTCGATTATTTATTTGAGTGTGAAACACATATAAAAATTATTTCTTCACTCGAAGATCTATGTTTTAATGTATATTGTCGAGATAAGATTTTTATATTTAAAACTACATGCACATATATGAACTCCACAAAAATTCAAATAGCTTTTGTTACCATAAAAAAGCTTAAAGTATATATCATTATCTTTGTATACAACATACAGTATAATCAATATCTCTTAGAACTGTAATCCACTCTCAGTTTATCAGATTATTTTTTGTTACTACACGTTGCAAAGTTCTTTGCTAATTTCATTGTATAAAAATGACTAAAAGATTTGTAACTCTAGTTATTTTATTATATAGTTTATATACGCATGACTATTATTTCATAGACTACATGAATTTATTACGTAGATTGTAATATAAAATAAAAATCATTACTTATGATGGAATCTAATTTAATACAAAATTAAGCAATTTTAAATTTTCAGGTGGTGATCGACTATTCTTTATTTAATTTCGTAATTTCTTTCGTAAATTAATTCGTAGTTTCTTATATTATAAATAGCTTACTATGTACTACAATTTAATATTGGATATATTTTTTAATTTATTTATACGCTATGAAAAACATCTTCATTTTATTCTCAATTATTATTCCAACTTTAAATATTTTTAAATATATTTTTGGATTATACATTTCTTTTATATATTTAAGATATTTGTTTGCATATAAAATTTATTAAAGCTTCAGGTTTAAATATTTGCAGACAAATTTACATTCTAAAATTTGCATTAAAATTATAATTTTATAACGCTAACAATAAAAAGTTGATCAAATTTTTATAGATTTGTTGTAAATGTAGATTTATAATTTAGTCATGTAATATCCATAATATAGAAACATATTATGAATATAATTATTTATTATATTTTATTAAGTTATAGAGTAGAGAAGATTAGAAAATATAAAATGTAAACTTTCTCTAAATGATAATTTATTAAGTATGTTATCGATAGAATAGTTTGTTTTAATTGCAAAAATCCTATATTCAAGGATTAATCACATTCATCATTAATATTTGCCAATTTCATTAGCAATATTATGTACAGATACAACAAATAATTTATTTAAAAAAATATAGATTTTTTATCAGTTATGTTTACATTATCAAAGTTAACAGAAAGTTAATGTCTATTATTGAAAAAAAATGAGCATAAATTTATAATTTACAATTTCGTTTAATTTACATTTATTTAATTTTGAAATTACTCAAAAATTGATGAAAATACAATTTATAAAATAAAATTCATTCAAAATTAGAATTTTTTAACTAACAAAATAATATACATAAGACCTTGTAAAATAATATGTTCATTAAAATAAATTCTTAATTATAAGTTGAATAATAAATGTAAAATCCACTAATTATTATAGACTATTAAAAATTATATTTCAATACATAAAGTGAGTACAAAAATTTCAATATATATATATTTGTTAAAAGGCTTTATTCTTGTCAAAATCATTTGTTCAATGTATATTTTAAGATTAGGGTATGTAAGGAATATGTACACAAAAAATTCACCATTTAATTATTAAAAATAATTTTGTTTTCTTATCTATCTTATAAGACTTTGATAAAGTAAATAACTTAAGAAAATTATGCCAGTTCAATATTAATACATATAAATTAGTAATTTAGAGTTATTCCAATTAGTTTAAGTCCATTACATGAACTAAAAGACATTCAAATTTATTGCACCGTAAAAATTTTTAAATCCAATATAATGTCCAAATTATATAATGTTTTTATTTATACAAGTAAGTAACTTATTATAATTATAAATACGTAGTAGTAGTAACTTTACGTAATAGTAAGTAACTTATATTTATAAATTTAAGGATGCTTGTTTGCATATTTATTGACAGTTTTTCTAAAACATATAATTAATGTATAACTCTCAATTTAGTGCTCATATTATGTGCTATAATTGTAAGCATACATGCAGCTCCAAATAAACCACCTAAACCCTGTAAATGTATTACACCTGGCATATATTATCCAGTTTGCGGTAGCGATAATAAAACGTATGGAAACAAGTTCATGTTAAAATGTGAAAATAAATGTTATAGTAAAAGTAAGTATTTTTTTTAATTATTATAATATAATTTTAAAATACATAGTAGGCATATTTTCAATATTAAATGATGAACATTAAAATCGTGTTTGAATCAGATTTAATTAAAAAGTACAACCAATATATATATAAATTTATATTGGTATAGATATTTATATGAATATATAAATGCGAAGAAAGAACATTGGTTTTATAACTAAAGAATTATTTGGAAAGTATATTCTTTTTTAGAAAAAACTATCTTTCATATTTGAACTATTATTCATATTAAAAAACATTTGCTTTTCAAATAACATTTTAGAGCTTAATATAATTGCCTACATACTGGATAAATTCTTATATAGATTATTTGTCTATTGTTAAAAAGGTCAAAATATTCAATAAAAATTAACGTTCCACATTTTTATAAACAATATATTTTGCATAACAGCAATTCATCTGAAAGATTAATTTTATTCAAATTTAGGTAGAAAATTTGAGATTCAATGCAGTTAAACAAAACTCTGTTCTAAAAATGTCTGAAACCAAAATATTAATTATTCAAACAAAATTAAATTATTTAGTATAACGAAATTCAAATTAAAAAAATTTCAAATTCGTAGCAACTTTTCATTCTAATTAAGTACAATTAAGATCTATTATTTAAAAAATATTTTTAACAAATATGTCATTTAGAAAATATTATTAAAAATACATTTTACTATAAATTTATAATCTTCAGAATTCTTTTTATAAAAGTACGTAATAAAAATGTAGTTATTTAATTTATATATGAATTAATTTTTTTTTTTATAGAACTCAAGATTGTTCATGATGGTAAATGCTGAATGATGTATAAGAATTAAAAATAATTAAAATTATTAATGAATTATTTTAAAATATTGAAAAATATATCATATTTATGTCCATACATGTATATGCAAGCAAGATATATAAATTTGTATTTGTATTATAAATAAAATCTATATACCTATGTACAACTAATATATATATACATATATATATATATAATGTAATATCCTACATAATTAGTATCAAATTATTTTTCCCCACACAAAACTATATTAATATGTATGTCATTCTTAAAACAATATAACATTATAAATAAGATTAATATAAACAATTAATTTTATATTTAATATTAAAAATATATATTAATATTAAAAAAATAAAATAATGGAAGCATAAAATATATATCATTTTTTATAAAGAAATAACTAAGACATTGCACCATATATTTTTTAGCTTTGCTCTCCAATATTGAAGTTCAGAATAATACGTATTTGATCATAAATTTAGTTAATTTATTATAATATTAATTTATAACAATACATTTACAATTAACTGTACATTACTGTGTTTTATTTTTATTAAGTATAATTGTTAAGTTAATTACAATATATACTATTAAAAATTCTTGATAATTTAAAAAAAATTATATAGAAATTAGTAGTTCCTGTAGTCCACTTCTTACAATTCCTAACTACTAAATATTTAAGTAATTTGTTTAATTCTGAAAATAAAGATGTCATTTTCTAAATAACAAACTCTTATTGGAATAATTAATACATTAATAACAAAATCACATAATATTGAACAACATTATAAGGTAATATACTATGTAATTGGCTTACATTATACTTATATTTATTTTGAAGATAATTATTACATATTAATTATTACATATTAATTATTACATATTAAATTAAATTAACAATCCTTGTTAATTAAATGAAGAAAATATTATTTTCTTAAGAGAATATTTTAACATACTTGAATCTTGTAATTTACATTGGCTGTATATCTATTTCAATATGTTATATTCTTTCATTTTTCCTATTTTCATAAGTTTTCATTGCGTATACAGTGTTTTGAACAGTGAGCAACTGATACGTGGGAATGTTATTTTTTGGTTTGATATTAATGAACATTATAGATTACATACACAGTGAATAAATGAAATACTATAAATCAAAATTTCAAAATATAACTCCATAATTATGTATGTTATATAAATATTTTATATAATACTTAATCAAAATAAAAAATCAAAATATCAATAAATGTTCCTAACTAACGAATAAATTTACACATTAAAAGTAGATACATTATATATTCATACATGATGTATATCTATTATTAAAAATTGTACTTATTACTATGTGCTTAATAAATAAGCAATATTACTACTAGTAATTTCGAAAATAACTACAAATATCAGTCAAAACTTTTCATTTAAATAAAATTAGAAATGAACTAAAAATATATTGTAAACAATCTTGATGATGAGAGCACTTTTCACGTTAAACTTAGTTTATCATTAAACTTACTATGTAACATTATATATAAAGACTGAAGTGGCATTGTGACTATTCTTCTTTCTGTTAAAATGATTACATTTTATTTTCGCTTATTCTAATGACATCAAATTCTTGTGAACATAATATGGGTCTCTAATAAAATATATCATTCTTTATACACATTAACTATTAAATTTACCTTTAAAAGTTCGTAGATTTAAGTTAGTAAAATAACATTTTAAAGATAACTTTAAATTGATAAGCTATTTAAAAGTTTAAACAGATAAGATAATTTTAAATTGTAAAGTAATGATTAAATATTTGTAAATATGAAACAATTAATTAACATAATAATACACACTACGAGAAACGATAAATATTTCGTTTAGTTAAAGTTCTATGGATTTTAAATTAAAAGTTAATTAAACTCTGATTTTCTTATTTATAGATTTCCTGGATTAATAATATTTAATAATATTAATATTTCAAAACATTAATTTTTTTTAAAATGTTGACTATATCTTTCTATAAAAATTAAATTTCGTCGGATCAAACTTTATTTTGTATTTTGACTATGTATATTATTATCTGTCACAATAGAAAAAACAAATTTAGATAGAAAATCCTTATGCTTCGACAAATTAAGAATATTTTCATATGATGTTTGTATAAAACAATATTTTTAAAAATCATAACAGTAATATGCATTATAAATTAATCGTTATGTTCCAACCGTATATACGTAAATAATTTATAATGTATAAATGTTCTCTTCGTGCAAATATTTATTATACATAAAAATACAATTTAGAACTTTTATTTTTTGCAATATTATTCCGATCGGATAATGAGTTATTTTACAGTGATAATATTTCCTTATCATATACATGTATGTATAAATGTACTATTAATGTTTTGCTTCTTTTATATACAACTTTAATAATTGCAAATAAAATATATTCGAATTGTAGTGAGGAACACAATAGTAATAATTTTGTTATTAAATTATATTTTATTTTTTATAATAAAATATTTGGAATTTATACCTTATTCTGTAAATATATATATTTAAATTATATGTTTAACATTTTTTAAATAAAAGTTGTAAGTATTATAAGCCTTTGGGTATATAGAAAAACTGGAAAAATTAAATATGAACTAATTCAAATTTAAGAAATTTAAAAGAACGATAAAAAAATTAAATTTTATATAATTAAGTGCAGATTTTACTTATTTAATAAGATTAATATCAAAGATGTTAATAATTATTGCTAAAAAATTTATCTGAAACACAATCAACTAACAAAAATTAATTAATTGAACCCAATGATAATATTCAATAGAAATAGAATAATATAAAGAATTGAAATTTTTAATTATACATCTTCTTGTAATATTTAATTTTGCTTCATTTCTATTATAAATTGACAGAACAGATAAGTATCTAATAACGTATGATTAACAAATGAATTAGATTTAAGTGCAAATCGTCATTTTTATAAAATAATTTTTATAATTTTATTTTAAAAAATGGAAATAGTACGTATATTAAACGTTAATAATATGATTCAAAACCAAGGCAGCTGGTTAAAAATTATGATTATATTATGCAAATATTAATTCAACAATACGATAACTAGATTTCTCTTATCAACGTTATTTCTTTGTTTTATCAATGAATAAAATCTATCACTTGGGTCTACATTAAATATGTCGAATTAAGCCAAGAAATGCTATATATAAATTATTTTCCGTTATATTCATCATTCTGTTTTGAAATTTTGACAAGAGTTTAATTTTTATATTATTTAACTTTAAAAACTAATTCAAGGTAAACTAAATAATATGCGGTACATCGTTGTCGTTAGTGGTGAGTAAATTATTTAAATTGAAAATTGTATGTTAGTATATTTATACTGAAGAAAATTGAGCTAAAATAAACTTTGATTTTATATTACATTTAAAATAAAATTATAATTAAATATCATTATAATTATCATTATTATGCTCACAGTTAAAACAGAATAATAAAAAAAAAAAAATATAGGTACATTTATTATCTAGTATAAACGCAAGATTTGAAATAACTTGTTTTTATACTTATTAACGATCCAAATATAATCGACACGAGAATTTTGGTGAGAAATTTTAATATTTTCTAATTTATAATTTAGTGGCTTTAGCATGCCTGTTTTCGGTAGTCTCGGCGAAGCCTCCATTACCTACCAAACCACAAATTAACGTAGATCCTGCAAAGTTAACATTGCCTTTAACGTCAGCAACACGATCACCAGAATCGCTGTCATTGAAAGTATCCTTACAAGCAAAGTCAGATGACCCAAATGCTTGCCGATGTTTCGTACCTGCTGTATACTCGCCTGTCTGCGGGTCTGACAATAAAGTTTATGCAAACAAATATCTGTTAGAATGTGAAAATACGTGTTCCAAGAAAAGTGAGTAATTTTAGAATATTAAATGACATATTGATAAATAATATTTCTAGTTAAAAGACGAATCGTGCCTCAACAAACACCCATATTATTAGTATCAATAAATATTTATCGAATTGTAATACAAACTTTATGAAAATTAATGTTATTTTATTTTATTTTCATTTAAAAACTATTTATTTATGATAAAGATATATATATATATATATATATATATAGAGTTTGACATTCAAGTAACTTAATAACGTTCAAATATCTTTAATCAATCATTAAATATATTATGACATTATTATTGAAAAGTTTTTATTTTGAGTTTATATAGTGATAAATAGTATTAGCTTAAAAAACATATTTATTTCACTAAAAATTTTCGAAAAATATATTTATTAAATGAATTTAGAATGTTTAGAATATTTAGAATGTACTTATATTAATCAAATATTTGTTTGCAATATTATAAATCATTTTATTATATGTAAAGCAAATCAAATGCTTGTACAGAATGACAATAATAGCGATATATGAAGATAGAAGGGTGAATAAAGAAATAGGCGCGTGTCTCGACTCAGTCGGTAATCAAAATTGTAACTTTATTTTCGCTTCGAATATTGTTACTCCGAAAATCCATCTGAACCTACTGATGTCAATGCACTTCTTTATCTTTATCGTAAAATCAAATATCAGTTCAAATATTATTGTTATAATTTAAAATGACATATTAGGATTTTTTCGGACGGTAGGAAAATTTTCAGGAGTGTTTCAATGCTTGTAGAATAGAAAACTTAAAATTAGGTTATAAATCTACTATTAAAAATTAGCAAAAGATTGCTTCGTGTAGATATATAGAAATAAAGTAAAACGAATGTTTTTCGATTTGTCTAGAGTTAACGTAATTTGTATGTATATTCACAAATTTAATTACAGTATTTATCTCGTCAGAATTTATGTATGCTATTAAAATATCATATAAAAATTTAAATATGCAATGTATTTGAATAATATAAAAAGATTAATATCCTTAACAAATTTATATATTATCTCATTCTCAATCTATTATACAAAAATGATTATGCTTGTTTATAGAGTTACACGTTCGTCATAATGGAAAATGCTAAAGAAAGGATACGTATCATCATGTATAATAATATAATGTGGCCAAATTCAATAAATGGAGACATTTAATAAAATGTTATAACTATTATGAAAATTTTTTAATTTTTGCTAATTTATTGTAAAGTATAATTAAAAATTTATAATAAAGAATGAATACAACGATTGAATCCATTACATTATATTTACTTTCATCTTACTTTTATAAATAAAATTTTTAACTGTTACCTACTCATTAGCAGTCGTATTTCATTATAATTAAGATATAATAAAACATTTTTTTAAATATAATTTAATATAATTTTTATTATTAATATTTTTAAAATCATAATTTGAGTCAATTCAGCAAGATTAAATATCAAATATAGCTATAAAAAATATCTCATTAGTAATTAATTTAATGTCATACAGAAATTAAATATTTTTAATTGTAGAAATTAAAATCATTTTTTTTTCAATCATATGAAATTGAAATTTTTATATCACTTTTATATTTTATATAATTACAAACTAATATTATGCATAAAATTTTTTACAAAAAATTTATTTATCAAAACAATTATATTTTAAATTAATTTATCCTATTACAATATTATATTTTATTTCATTTTAATCATTTAAAAAAATCTTTTATTACAGTTTGTTTAATAGACAAATTTTATAAATATAAATTTATGTATTTACTAATCAACAGTATGTAATAACTATATTTTATAGAGAAAATATAGTGCCATACCAATTGGATATAAATATCTTAATATGCCCTTATAATAATAGTTTCATTATTCATGTATAATTATTTAAAATATATTATCTCATATATTAATAATAATAATAATTTTATAAATGTAAATCACCACTATTAAATTACATTATAATTTATTATATAAAGCGTATAATGGCGTTATATGAGAAAAATTAGAATGTATGAAATAAAATTAATATTTTCTCAAATAGAAAAACCTAAGCACATTAAACAATTATATAATTAAATAAATAGATCATAAACAATATTTAAGATTTGTTTGAGTATTTCATTAGTTGAAATACAATATATAATTTGTAATAATAGTACAAAAATTAAAGTCGGCAATTAAAATTTTGCTTAAGAAAATTTGAAAACTTAATTATTAATACAATTAATAACGAGTTCAAAATTTTTACTATTTTTAAAATATTTCACAAAAATCAAATATACATATATATATATACATAATTCAATAGTTTCAAATTTCTATAAAATGTTAAATATTTGTGGAGATTTTATATCATTTTTTAATATAGAATACTAATTCAAGGTGAAGCTGCATACAAAAATTTGATTGTTTAATTAGTATTATATGTTTTTTAATATAATATATTTTTTATCAGAACTAATTAATTGTCACTAATGAATAATTATTGAATTGCCAGTATTTTAGTCAAATTTTTTGAATTGATAATAATTATTTACTTCGACACAATATGTACATACATATGTAATTCTAAATATTTTATGTGAAATTTTTTTTGTTTTTATTTACAGCAAACAAAATTAATTATTACTAGTATTATAGAAAAAACTAATATTTGTTGTATTAATTGATTACTACATATTAAGATATAATCATTATTAATTTCATGATTGAACACAGCAGGCATCGATAATTAATTTTTTCTTTGAAAATGCCTATCAATTATTTTAATATATTATTATTAATTATTCTACATTAAGAAAATTGTTAAAATGTAATTAGTTTATAATAAAATTAATATTAATGTGATAACAATTTCAAATTATTGAATAAAATTCAATTATATAATGTATGTTTAATGTATAACTCGTAATGATATAAAATTCTAAATAGACATACCATGACAGATTAGAAAATTATAGACAAATATTTTTCTACATGATAATATATATTATTAATAATTATCAAAAAGAATTAAATTCAGTTTATCAATTATGTTTTAAAATTATAAAAGTACAATCTAATCTACCAAAACGCGAACATAAATGTGTTATATTTTGTTCATTACCTAAATGAAACAAAGATATGTACATTTTAGTAATTCTTGGTTACGTTCATTAATCAATATTGAAAAATTCTTTAATTTATATATATATATATATAACAAGTGTATGTTTAGTTTAATAGTTTAAACTGATGAAGATTTATAGAGTTTTAATGTTTCTTTGTACTTTTTTACCTCACAAAATCTGTCTAGTATTTCATTTTATAGAACACTTATTAAATAATTCAGAAATTTTTCCATTAATCATTTAATTTTAAATAAATAATTTTATTTTAAAATATTATGAAAAATACTTACTTAATTGCGCAAATAATAATTGAAAAACTGAATGATAATTCAGTTATTATAATATAATTAGACGTTACAAATTCTTACACAAATAAAAAATTGAATTTTAAAAATAAAATAAACATCTTAATGAAGTAGAATAATTAAAATATTTTAATTTAAGCTTTATTCAATAAAAGGCACAGCTCTAACAATTTTAGAAATACTTTACAAATTCAAATGAACGATATTCAATAAAATTTCAAAGTATAATTCTAAATAACTAATTTAAAAAAATAATTTTAATTTATATCTAAATTGATAAGGAAATAAGAATGGATAAAGATTACCTAAATTATTGTAAGAAATTATAAGGAGAAATTTCAATGTATATACATTAGTCTGTTCATTGGAATTTTTCTTAATTTTTTCATTGATGTTACTTGATTACGGGTTAACTATTCATTAATTATTGAATGCTAAATTTAGTATTTTAAAGAAATTTATATTTATATAAATTCTATTGTTCAATATTACGTATATAAAAGTGTTGTTTTATTAGGTTAGAAGTTCTGATGCGGCAAAGGAACTAAATTTTTATAATTTCGATTGTATATTATTTATGAATTTAGTTTTATATTTTGATCTTAATATTTGTATTATTTTATATATGTTATTTTCATTATGCTTTTGTATTACTTTGTATTGTATTCAATTGGATTCTGCTTCAAAAGTTAATTTTTGTATCAATTTTAATGCAAGAGTGAAATAATCAATCTAGGCTAAATTACGATATAATTTTTCTTAATTTTATTTTTAATTTTTCAGTAATTTCTATGACTATTATATTTATTTTTTAGCCCTAACGTATATAATATTAAGAAAGTTTTTAATACTTTCATGAAGAAGTCATTAAGTTACATTTTTAAATAAAATGAATTAAATAAAATAATAGAAAATTAAGCAAATTAAAAAAAAATGAAATTGATATAAATTATTTGATAATTCAATTATTCATACAATAACTTTATTTATATAGTGATTGCAAACTAATTTATGTGCCATAACAATTAGATTTTATGCATACACTCAAATATGTAAAAGATAATTTTATTTATATGTATACGTCTATCAAAGAGATTTATGTATCATAGAGACTTTTTATTAATAATTTTCAAATATATTTAATTCTCTATATTCTTAACATGGTATATAATATTTAAAAAGATTAATCAAACGTATTATTAAAAAGATAGAAATTAAAATAATGTAGTATGAATATTAATAAAACTTGAAATGTCTTAATATTAAATTATAGATTTTCTTTATCTTTTGAAAATTTCATTGATTTTAAAAATGATTAATAGCTTAAAAAAAATCGAATTGTAACTCTTTATATACATGTACATGTATTTTTCTAAACACTTTATTTTTCAATTGGGAATAATAACCTGATATTACTGAAATCTTTTATTATTCCTCTGAATAAATAAGCGATACGATCGAGTAGCTAATAACATAACACAATACTTCTGTGTTTCTTATATTTTGTAAAATATTCAACGAGTACATTTTACCGATCATAATAGTGATATCTTCTCAGGAATTTTGAAAATAATATAAATAAACAATTTAAAGTAATAAATCAATTCTTTTAAATTTATAAAAGTGATTGCTTTGATTACTAAGTGATGCTTTGATTTGATTACTAGCGTAATACATAAAATAAATTATTTGTTATAATAAATATAATATATTATATATGCATGAATATGCATAAAGCATGATGAATTTAATTTGCTTATTAAATCGTTATTTCAACTAGTTAAATAAATGTTACAAAATTGAACAGACTATGCCGTCGACTTCAATTACGATTAAATATAATATTAAGGAGTCATGCTAGAGTTGTAAACAATGATTCATACGAGAATCGCAGTCGCTCGATGATGCTCTGAATGAACCGTTTATTTATTGAACATTCTGCATAATTAATAGCGTCAATCAAGGAAATTAAGAAACCTCTGATATCAGGTTACCTATTCAGTGTATGCATTTTCTGAGTTGCAGGCGACGGGAAAAGATGGCACGGCTGACCCTCTTCGATTATTACAATTCCAACATTCATATTCAGACGACCTTAAATGGAGCGTTAATAATATATATTCGTTAATTATTGGTACAAAAATATAAAGTAAAATTAAATGTACTAAATTTAGCATTCACGGATAAGGTTGTATCAAAGTGACAAGGTAAATATGTGAGTTTCTATGAATTATTTTGTAGTTGATGTTGCATGATACTTCACGTATGATGAAATATCTATATTTGTCGGTCTTTTACATAATGAAATTGTTATTCTTGTACGTAATTTAATAACTAAGCAGTTAAGATAATAATGATTGTTATAAATAATTTGCATTGCTTATGTATTTCTTAATGATGAAAAGTTGAGACAATAAAAATATATGATTTAACATATTTATTAGATAATAAATTGCCAAGGTTCATACTTTTAATATTTTTATTATTATTTATTGCAATTATTACTAGTGAATTCAAAGTCTTTTAATAATATTCGAATTAAAATGGTTATAAATTTTTTTTTTCCAAAGATAGAATGTTATAAACGTACAGACCAATTATTATTTTCATAATAATTTTTCGAAAGTTAATTGTGCCTTTAATCATAATTTGTAACTATTACAAAAATACTGTAAATGCAGTTTTCAAAAGCTGTGTCATTATTTATATTATGCTTTTATAAGCGTTAAATGCATATGATATATCTGTACA